CACTAAGTACAGCAATGTGTTTGGCTCTGAGGGCTTCAGCTCAGGGAGACACAGCTGGGAGGTGGAGGTGGGAGATCATCCTGCCTGGAGAGTGGGTTTGGTTAAAGAGTCAGTTGACAGGAAGGGAGAGCTGTACGCTTCACCAAAATATGGGATCTGGAGTTTATGGCATGGTGATGGAAATTATTCTTGTGCTGGTGAGACTGTGACAGTGAAGAAGAGTCTCCAGAGGATCAGAGTCCAGCTGGACTATGACATGGGGGAGGTGTCCTTCTACAACTCTGAAGACATGACTCCCATCTACACTCACAGAGACACTTTCACTGAAAAACTCTTCCCTTTTTTGGGAGTTGGTGCAGCTAAAGACGCTAAAACCTCTGATATCAAAATCTGTTAAATTGTTGGTGAAACAGCTTTAATGAATTTTCTTTCCAATGCATAATATGTTTTTAATTAGACAAAAGATACTATATCAAAAATTAAGTTTTTTAAAGTTGAGCAGGAGACACAAAACTGTGGTGTAAAAAAAACAATCCATCATTAGTTTATGTTTTTAAAAAAACTTTGAGCTTTGAGTTCTTCCAACTATTATTCCATCAACTTCTCATTATTGTTGGTCTGTATCTTCTATCTGGATTTACATTTGAAACTTTTTAAACCTTAGAAACAAATCAACAGTACAATTTTGCTTTGATGTTAGAAAACATTCAGACTTTCATGTTATTTGTGTGTCTGTGTGTAATGATTCTATACACACGTACAGAAGTAACAGCATTTTCTCTGAAGAGTTTCTGAAGCTGTTCTGTACGTTTTCTGTCAGTTTCTGATTTATTACAGGAAAGAAAATAACAGTGATTAAAAAGATAAATAAATAAAACAGTGTCACTGAAAGAGGATCAAAAACTTTTGGTTCAGTAAATCAAATGATGTCAAATGATTATTTCATGTTTGTATACAGATCATATGAGGACAATATTTGTTATTTGTTCATATTTGTTATCCATGATCGAAAATTAACTGGTAAAGATGGGATAAACAAGCTATTTTTATATTAGAGAAGAACCGTAATAGTTTCACATAGAGTGTCTGCTTCTTAAAATGGCATGTTCAATTTTGTTTTTCAAGTTAAAAACAACAAGGATTAAATCTAATGATGAGTAAACTTCCCTTTGTAAATAAATTCTTCATCACACATTCTGTACTGACCGAGTTTGTTTCAGAGCCAGTTTGTTTTTTTATACAGAGAATATATGTTTAAACAAAAGTTCACAAACTGCTGAGGTAAAGGGTGGCTCTAATGTCTCATATTATATGGCTTTATTCAATACATTTGAG